GACAATGTAGGAAAAGCAGTGAACTTTATGAAGGAAGAGAAACTTAACACATCAGTATCAGCTGAAAATATTGTTGATGGGAATAGAACTTATATTCTTGGTATGGTATGGACTATGATTCTTAAATATAAAATTAATGCCAACCAACAAAAGAATGTTAATGCAAAAGAAGAAGTAGTAGAAAATAATGCACTTTTGGATTGGGTCAATTCTTTTGGTCTGAATGTATCTAATTTCTCAAGTGACTGGAAAGATGGGGTTGCTCTTGTTAAATTAACAGAAGCAGTTTCTGCTGGTCAAATTAAGTTTGAACAATTTAGTGGATTAGACAATACTCAGATGGTTATTGACTGCCAAAAACTTGCATACGAACAATTCAAAATTCCAATTTTGATGGATGTAAAAGATTTGGTATGTGAACGTCCAGATCCTAAGTCTATTATGACGTATGTTTCAGTTTATAAAGAAAGGTATGAACAGTTACTTGTTGAAAAAGAACAAAAAGAAGAGCAAGAGAGAATAGCTAGAGAAGAGCAAGAGAGAAAACAAAAAGAAGAGCAAGAAAGGTTGGCTAGAGAAGAACAAGAAAGGTTGGCTAGAGAAGAACAAGAAAGGTTGGCTAGAGAAGAACAAGAAAGGTTGGCTAGAGAAGAGCAAGAGAGAAAACAAAAAGAAGAGCAAGAAAGGTTGGCTAGAGAAGAACAAGAAAGAAAACAAAGAGAAGAGCAAGAAAGATTAAACCAACAACAACCAACTAGTCAACAATTAACATTTTTCTCAGTTCAAGCAGCAGCAGATGCCTGGATCTTACAAAATATACAAGCTGCCTATGCACAAGACCCAACGATTCAATTCCAATGGTGGTATCCATTAGTTCAAAACCTTAGTGCAAATGACTTTAGAGAACTTCAAGATTGGTTTAAAAAAATAGATAAAGATAAATCTGGAACGTTAGAATTAGATGAATTATTAAAGGCTAAATGGCCTAAAGATATGAAAATGAATAATGAGACTATCAAAAGATTAATGTTAATATTTGATGCTGACAATAATGGATCGATTGGATTTTATGAATTTATTGCTCTTTACAATTGGGTAAAATTATGTGTTGCAACATTTAAACATTTTGATGTTGATCAAAGTGGTTCATTAGATATTACAGAACTTCAAGTAGCACTTCCTCAATTAGGATTCAATTTAAATAAACAAAGTTGTGATGCATTAATTAGAGCAAACAAAAATTTAATAGGGAAAAAGAAATTAAACCAAGTTCAATTTATTTGTGCTACTTCTTATCTTGCACAATGTCGAACAATTTACCAATTAACTTTTGACACTCATAGGGATCAATTAGATCCAGTAGAATTTGATAAGTTTATCAACTTAGTTCTTGGACTTATTTGATCAAGTTAATTTAATCATTCATAT